CCGCTCTTCCTTTGATTCATTTGGAGGTGCAGCTGCATGATCCTTCTCCAGGAGTAAAGATGTCATTCGGGGATAAGCGGCTGGTATGATATGAGTTGTCCGAACGTATGATAACGTAAAATCACATGAAGTAGCTTCTTTGGATGTCTTGGGCAGCGTATATGAACTTGGAAGCGGTTCTAGAGGGTCCAAAGGTCGAGGATGAATTGTTGGGACTTGAAGCAACTTAGTCGGTGGCGCGTAAGAATTCAAGGTTGACATATTAATGGGTGTATTGAGTCGAAACGTATTTGATGCTTTGAGATGGATAAATGGTTTGAAACTTGAGAATCTAGGACTGAGAACTGGGCGTGCTGTGATCATAAGAAGTCTAAGAAAGCAAAACCATTGATAGAATGTGAGAAAACGGCGTTCGGTTAACGAGAAAGCCGGTTTCAGGCTGATCACTTGAACTCTTAATCAGCGGCAGCGGGGATTGACCTTTCTTCAGCTCCTTCGCTTCATATCCGTGTCTTGTCATTTAGCGCTGATGGGTGATGATGAAATTTTGAGTTGCAAATATAAAGAGCGTAGATAACGTCATCTATGATATCTGATCAACACTTTCGATCGCCGATATATATGTGCCATCACAAAACCATAGCATCGTACGGCTTTCCTGCAGGAAATGATGCAGGCCATCCTGCCCTGTTGTAATTTATACCGAATTCTCGTTTCATCTTCACCTGCCAACCACGATGCCCAAAACGCTATCATCCCATCTCGGTTGCCGAGCGCTCAGCAGTTAACTTGCCAACCGGCGTCCTATCCGAGTGTTATCGCAAACAGAATGACCGGGGTACTGCGTTTGGAATGCGAGAATTGGTGCTTCTTAATATCCATGCAAGTCATACCGCCAAGCGGGTACATCATCAGGTACCACTTCAGACATAACTGTTCAACGTATTCACTAAGTCTGGGCTCAAATTATGGAAGCACTGGTGCTCATACAACGGGTTATTCTGCTTATTGCATGGGCCCGCTCATAAAGCGAAGCGAGTGTCACGTCGAGAGGGGCTCTCATGGGCAGTTTACCATCAGCCACCAGCTTTATGGTACGGAAAACAACGGTAAATTGACACTCATTTTAGCTTTTACCTAACAAAGATTTATACCTTGGCCTATTTGGTTCTAGAAATGCTCGGAGGCGTCAAGCCTAAGAAAGACATAGCTTTGCCGTTAGGTTGGTCTCAAATTGAAGGTTGCTTCGGCCGCAATTCTGAGCAGAAGCACTCTTTGTTCGTCACAGGTCTGCTGATCTTGGATCCTTTTGGTCTCCTCAGCCTCTAGAACCGTTGTACATGCGTAACGTTCTCAGTCATAACTGTGGCTCCGCATACCCCTCTCTTCTCGGATGTCCGAACGACTGGACGAACTTGAGCTTCTTCGGTATCGCCTGCGCTTTCCACAGTAGCAAACGCGATGATGCCCAGCAATTGCGCTGAAGATTTCTGAGACTATGCAGAGGCCTTCCGTCGACCAAGTCATGTACTCATCATCGTAAATTTGACTTGGAATTCTTCATCTCGACTCGATAACCTGGTGCATCGCGTGCATCGTGGTTCATCCCTGCTAGACTGGTAACCCCGTAAATCTGGGATTCAGATTTGCACCATCTACTGCTCTTCTATCTCCCGAACAGCCCTCGTGCGTGGGCATTTAGAGGAGCAATGGCAATGGGTTTGAGGGTCGAGTTTCGTGTTGTGTGGTTGGTCAGGTGTCTGTGCGGCATTCTCCGGTCTGAGGCATGTCCATGATTAGCTCATGTATGCTTTGGAATATAGTAATCCATTATGGTTGACTAAATGTATTAATGTAATGGCTTGAGTTGACATGCAACTTCCTGACATATTCACGATTGCTTTGCTTGAATTGAAATACGCCCCTGCACAATGTCTGATCAGGTAGAGAGCCAAACAAGCACTTTCTTCTTCAATGCTATAATTCATAGCAGCCAGATTTCTAAGGAATAGTCCCTGGGGTGTAGAAATCCTCAGAAGTCCTTCCTCGGTTCTTTCTGACTGCTTCCCAATTTAATCCCTCCGTATGAAGAATTGCTTTAATCATCAATTCCCTGTGGGACACTTCTATCAATTGGGGATATTACGTATTATTAAATCATCGGAGCTGCGTGCAGCAGGGGTTAGATCGAGGAAATTCAACTTAACCTGAATTATATTCAATAAATATCAACCTCGATCTTCGTAAACCTTTAGCTCCCTATTGAGGTACCAACTCATGCTCATAATTGCCTGTTATGCTGCCAGGAACATGGTAAGTTCCCAGTACATCCAAAAGTCGTAGTTTTGCAGGCCGCTGACGGTAAGGTCGATGACAAGGGCTGCTTTTCCTAGTTATGGTCAAGCTGTGAATGATCTAATTGTTCGAGATAAAGGACTAGTACGCCTTTCTTTTTTCCCGTTATCACCCTGCATTCTAGCCTTGTGTTCTCCGGAATATGAATAACCCAATGTTGCGTCGCACAACTTCTAGCACATCAGACCTTCATCAATCAGTAAAACTCCCCAACAGGTGTCCATCTTTGTTCGTTGCAGGGATCGTGGAAGACTTAGGACTTCATGAACTCAGTTACGTAGCTGCGTGCACGCCCAAACCATGCCACTAACGAAGATATCGATCTCATGGGCAGCATCGGTGCTCATGCTCGGAGGCTCGACTTCAACAACAGCGAAGATGGAACTCACTTGTCTATTCCGCATCGGGCTAATTCAATTGTCCCTCGAGCCACCTTGATTGTCCCGATATACACTCAGATTACTACCCTTGTTCCACCCAGGATTTGGTCCACAATACTTGGAACCAAGCCATAAGTTACTTTTTCCTCCTGCATGTACTTGCATATCTCCATGGAGAAAGCTGCTATCCTTCTGTATATCCTGTTTGAAACGCTAGCCACTCGTTAGTAAGTATATGGCGAGGGGCTCGTATTTAAAAAAATTCCTGGTGCTAGATCTTCTTTGGGATGAGGTAGAGGGAGTGATAATGATTGATCTACCGTTTCCACCTTAGGGTTACCCACACTGCCTTCACGATGCATGGCAGACCGAGCTTCGAGATATTGAGGGAATCGTTAAAGACACTTTATGATCACACCTACTATTATGGATAAATGTAAATCCAAAGTCCGAAAGTCGAACGTGGGGCCGGCGCAGCGCGGGCACCGCCGGTTCACGGTCTCAACATCCGTTGCCCTTGAGGATGATTCAAGAACTCCAAACATCTCCATCGGAGGGCCATATATACTATATGCGTACCGCTTTCTCTCCGACATTTCGGACGAACGTAATTAGACAGAAAGCTGAAGCCTCACTTGTCCCCAGTGTATGGAATGTTCTGAACTCTCCAAGCCAATATGTACGAGGCATCACTACAATGAAACCCCGGTTATAATAACGCCAAGGACTCTATTGCTTAGTGGCGACTAATTCCAAAAGAGAGGGGTTTCTTCATTCAGAACGTAATGACAGGAACGTTTCTCGGTTATGAGAGGCATGAAACACTCAGTGATGCGCTCATGATCAAATGTCTGTCACGTCCGGTGGAGTGGATAATCGACGTGTTAGAGTCTACTTGCTTGTAGGTCTCAGGCTATTTGCAGACGAGTCTGCAGCATCACTGAACTATCACATAGAATCAGGTTGGCTTCGAACACCGATTTCGTTCTCGATGTTGATTGGAGTACTCCAACATTCGACCCAGAAGGCGGGATAAAGGTATTGGCTATGGATTGATATGTGCTCACATTTCGATTCCCACTAAACCAGACCAACAGGCATTGTTCTTAGGCACTTACAATGGCAATATAAGCGAGAAATGGGTTTTGGAGAAGGTTGAGGTGGCCGAAAAGGCTCCATACTGTCCATATCTGCATATCGGCCCTGTCCCTGCGGGAGTTTACTGGTTAGGGCATGCGGATGAGAAGGAACCTAATATGTCAATTAGTCCTTCGGTCGCAGCGATTACGGTTGCTGCTCGGTTCCCACTTGATATTGGCCATACGACTCATATACAACTCTCGGGAATAGGTGACGCACCATGGCCAAACCAGATATGGGAATTGGAATCTGGGGTTCATGGATATCGGCTCAAGAATCTTGGCACAGCTTCGTACTTGAACTACGTCGATCGAAGGCCAGTCATGGAATCTGTTGCCTACGGTAATTCTTTTGCAACAGAATGGGCATTTGTTCTCGTAGAGGAGAAAAGGGCGTACCCTTCATATCAGTAAGTGACAATTGGACATGTAAGATTTGTATGCTACACTGGCTTTTACCGTGCAGCATAAAGCCCGTATCCGACTTAAGCGTTGTGTTAGGATGTGTTCAGGGCGAGAGCTTCAACAAGGTATTTCCGTTTCCATTTCTTCGTAATGAGGTCGATCTAATGTCGCTGTCCGCCATAGATGTCAGTTTCGTCGATCGAGGACTTACAATCCAAAGCAAAGCCATCCAGATACGCTTATACTCACTTCCGCTGTCAGAGCGTCACCGAGAGAGCGTTGCAAACAGGATGAGACCGAAGGTTCACTGAGCCCACTTGTCTTGTACAAGTCCTTTTACCTCTTTCTACCGTGATCAAGTCTCTACATAGACAGTTTTCGCGACGTCAGGTTTGACACTTAAGTTCTTGCACTGCGGAAGACAACTAGAGCGCTCATACGCAAAGTATCTTGGAATGGCAGTTGTAATATATAGAGTTTGAAACAAGAACCATGTCGCATACTCACTGGCATTCAGTACTTGTAGAGAAAATGGCATAGCAAGAGACACCAATATCACTGCCACAGAGCTCATGTTCTCTGACCCTTTATCATGTTCAGCGTGTCCCGCAAATCGATGCTGGTTCGAAACGCCACTGCCCGTAGACCTAACCATACCTTAGGGCCAGATGTGCAAACCTGGCAGTGAGCAATAGTACAGCAACTTGACCCCTCCCTCAAGGTCTGGGTAGCGCAGTTGGTTAGCGCGTCAGTCTCATATGACAAGTATGAAAGCTTCAAAAGCTTGTAATCTGAAGGCCGCGAGTTCGAGTCTCGCTCCGGACACGTTTTGCTATGCCAGGCATTCATTCCGGCAATGCTTTTATGCAGAGAAATGAAGTAATCTACTCTGTCGATTCCACTAAGCTGGGCAAGCAACCAACAATGCAACAAGCTCGCACCATATAAAAAAGGTCTATACATAACCATTATTGGAGCAAGCGGTTTAGTACCCTAAAGCTGGTGTATTCTATGTGATTATACAAGTCATTGATCACCTCCTATCATGCAGAGAGGTTGAATCACTTGATGAAAACTTCCCAGATGCATCGAACTGCTCCAAGACGAGGGACCTCAGAATCCTCAATTCCATCCCACCTATTGGTTCCCAATCGATGCATCAGGGCGCAATACCAAGCCGTATTAGAACCAGAACCCAACAACTGTATCTTGGCTTTGCTGAGCCAGCTTGGCGCTGGTGGAGCAGGATAATCAATATTATCATCTTTATTGAATATCCGTTCTGGCAAAGAGGGGCAGATCACCGCAGCACGGCCAATTCCGACCAAATGAGCATGTTCTGCTTTAATAGTTTTGACCATGACAGATCGAGTTCGCTATTGAATATATAATTAGAGGGAGGTTGGAGATCCAAGCATACAAACACTTTACCAAAGAGCCTGTTAACATGATGAGAGGAGCATTTGGAGTCTTCGGCAAAGCACCCATAGCACTACGCGAGAATTTGGCGAAAAACGCCTCCCTCGGGGTAGGGGCTTTCATGAATTCTGTAGATAACATCAGCTACGACCCATTGACAAAGTCGGGAACAAGACACACCAAGGGTTTCATAATCACCCCCGCTAATCTCTATAAAGTCAAAGATACCCCACTCTGAGATATCCCGTACTTGTTGGAGAGCTTGTTCTTCTGTTGTACCACCCTGAACACAGTCTGCAGCATTAAGCTTGATACCCAACACGAATGAGCTTGGGACAACAGCTCTGATGCGAGTAGCAATCTCATGTATAATATGGAGATTATTAGGATGACCATACGGCCCGCCTCGTTTGTTTGTCTGCAATGCTATACGTTAAGTAAACTGCTCAAGCGTATAAATATATACATATATTACCTTTGGAGAGATGAACTGGGATAACAAATCTGGTGGAAGATTGTGTTACATTTACACGCAATCAAGCAACGGACCACTTACATCCATGAGACGCATGGAGCTGAACACCGTCAAATCCAGCATCTCTCATAACTTCAGCACCCCTCACAAAACTTTGAATAACGGTCTCAACCTCATCATCTCCTAATTCACGGGGAGGGATAAACAAGAACTTGTGGAACAGCTTGGATAGCACGCCATCATTTTCGTGCCTTGATTGCAACGGAACCGTGCTGGGCGCTGAGGGCGCCTTAAAGAATGACCGTCCACCTACAATCCGTGGAGATTGACGCCCTGTGTGACTAAGCTGTACGATAGCTAAGGTTGCAGGGCCGGAGGAATTATCGTTACGACAGCATTGGGCCAATTGGACGAAGGGTGCTACACTTTCGGGTGTGATGGTGTCTGGAACAACCATGTCGCGTCCCAGAGTGAGATGGTGTGGGTCAACCTGGATATTACCTAAGACATTGTCTATCACTGATTCCAAGATGTTGAGGACTGTTCAGGGCTTACCAGTAATAATCATTCCCCATTTACTTTGTCCCCATCTTTTGTACAACCCAAAGTGGCGATTGTTTGGAGGTCCACCGCCAAAAGTAGTGAGAGCCTCGTACATGGCAGCCTGCCAAACACGTGAAGCAACTGCGCGTTGACAATGCTGTCGGAGAGTTTTTCATACCTTCACGAGTCTGTTTGGAAGCACCTTTTTGCTACATGGCAATGTAAGCGATTCTTGTAGAATGGCGACGTCGGAATCCACTTCTGATTCTTCCATGTGCTCTTTAGGACGTGATGGGCACCTTCAATGCACGCTAAAAGGTGGTTGACGCTAAACGTGGCTGGCGATTGTTGCTATTGCAGAGCTTCTAGAGTTTGACAGCCTTCGGACAGGGATGCGGGCAAAGCCACCGGGCATAAGGAGCGCTTGAACGTAAATGGACAAAACTGAAATTTCAAATGTTTCAGGTGATATTATCGAGAAAAGCCGCACCGGGAGAACCGGCTGAAACATATCCGAGTTCAGATGTCGTTTTCCCCACCAACGCGTTTGCCAGAGGGATCGATTCTCACTCTCCATCTTACCACCATGTCCATCGATCTAGAAAAAGCCATTGGATTTGAGAACCAAGATCAACCTGTCTCTTGGACTAGACGAGACTTGCTCCTATATGCTGTTGGAATTGGTGCAAAAAAAGACGACCTACAATTCGTGTATGAGCTGGGTAAGTTCCAGTCTTATCGCCTTCCTCGACAATATAGCCTCTGAACGAAGCTCAATGCGACAGATAAAAGATTTTCAGCCTTTCCAACCTATCCTGTTGTGTTGTCCCTCAAGGGTACGTACTCCATTGCTCGCAACGGAGAACTCCAGCCACTCATATGATATTTAGGAAATCAGACAGATGTAGTAAATTTTGCCAAGGCCCTGGACTCTGAGCCTATACCAGGACTACCAAAGTTTGATCCCAAGAGAGTGGTTCATGGTTCACAGTCGATAGAATCATTGAAACCTCTTCCATTGGAAAGCGGCCCCGGTTGGAAACTCAAGAAGCGCGTCGTGGGTGTTCACGAGAATAGTGAGAGTAGTGGTTGTGAGATGCTTGATCGTTGCTCACGCCAATTTTTCAGAGTCTGGGATCATTGTTGAATATGAGCTCCTGTTGGTTGATGGAAATGGAACCCCATATTCACGCATGATAGTATGTATTGATCTCGAGTCATGTTACGTAACAAGTGGATTTACATGTCCTGGGGCCAGACTTCGAGCTTTAATGTTGGCGCAAAAGCTGTTGGCAAGTTCTCAAAGGCCATTGCAAAGGCACCGGTGGCAAAACCCATACCAAAGGACCGGAAACCAGACCATGTTGTGACGGAGCATATCTCCGACGAGCAAGCCCTGGTATATCGACTGAGTGGAGACTACAATCCCCTTCACATTGGTATGTTCTAGTGTCCTCCAAGAGACGTTGGTTCACGTAATGTCCTCGACAGATCCTGAAATTGGATCCAGACTGGGCTTCGGAGGTGTGATTCTTCATGGGCTTGCATCGTTGGGCTTCGCCGCACGTGCTGTACTATCCAATGTAGGCAACAATGATCCAAGCGCTCTCAAGGCAATTGGAGTGAGATTTACCAGCCCAGTCAAACCTGGTGGTGAGTGTCTCGACCAACTCAGGATAGTGTGATCCTAACAAACTTCGTTGTGAAGATAACCTGGAGACTTCGATTTGGGAAGTTGGTCCAACCAAGGATGGAGCTACGGAGGTTGCTTTTGTGACTAAGAACCTAAGTACTGGAAAGGTTGGGATCCCTTGTCTTTATCAGATTAGTCAGCTGATTGCTGACTTTTCTCTTATTAGATTGCGCTTGGCGGTGGGGTAGCTTACGTCACCAAGGCAACCAAAGCAAAGCTCTAGCCTAGCACAGTTGAGACGGCGGTATCATAATATCGAGAAAGTATATTAATTGGAAAAAAATTGCATCCGAGTCTGAACCCAAACAAACCCTAACTCAATGCCTTTGCCCACTGTCGAGCTTCATTCAGTCTGCGCTCAACGACAGGAGATGCTTCCATTCCTGTTGTACCTCCAGTCCAGGTGGGAACATCGGCACCTTTGCCGCTGTGCTGGTCAAGAAGTTTGACATCGGCGGCCGAAAGGACTACACAGTTATCAACTGCGAGTGGCTTGCTCTTGTCCCAGCGAGCCAGATGTGCCTTTGGTAGTATGGGATGAGGCGGGATAGATGAACGCCCGCGATTCAAATCTTCGAATATAAATGATATGTCATATTCGTCGATTGGAAGTTTCCTAAGGTAAGATGTCAGGTCATAACGCCAAGAACACTATGAAGAAAAATCTCGTACTCCATGAGTCCACTTTCGGAGCTTTCCTTCGCTTCCCGTGAGGAAAGGTCACGGAGTAGCTTCTCGTATAGCTTTTTACGGTTCCGAACTGGGAGAGGGTTCAATATAGGTTTTTGAGCGAGATCGCATAAGATGTATGTCGCTGCATGCAGACCGAAGATCGATGGCAAAGGACCTGACATAGTAAAATGACAACCAGTTGAGTGGCATCACTTGGACATGGCAATTGATTCATACCTAAAACGGGAAGAATGCGAACACGGAAGTCATCAAATGGTCCAAGTTCATGTACGGCGCCTTTCTTGAATTCTTCTTCTGGGAGCGGCAGAAGCTTGACATCGCTGGGGATTTCCGTTGAATAAACCACCCTGGAGTTGGCCTAGTGTTAGTAAGATGAACTAATGAGTTCACACCAGGGCTTACGGGATGCCCGAAGTAATTCCGCTCATTTTCAGACGTCGTCGAACGGACCGGGCCAGTGGATCTTCCTGAGTATCGGAAATGTCACTAAAAGGCAATATCAGACATCGTGTTAGGCCACACGACCAACAAGTCTTATCACCTGATTTGAATCCGTGTAGGATCGCACTTGGTGCCAGCTCCCATTGATGCGAAAACCTACCTCGCCACAATCAACGATCAATAGAAGAACAAGAAGAACAGAATTCCAGAGCAAACCTTGATATTCCTTTCATGGCAGTACTTCAATAGTTCCACCTATACAACGTGACAAGCTAGTCAGTGGACACCTCAATTCTTGTACTCGACACCCTAAACCTTTGTCGTGATATTATCGATGGCATCTTCACGATGGATCAGTTAGGGAAATCGCATTCAAGCATTGAGCTCAAGCCTCACCTATAACCCAATCTATATTGCCCCCCAAGAGCCTCTCGCCTTCCCTACCAGATTTCCAGAGCTCTATTCGAGCATCCACCTCCACCCAAGGCGCAATTTGGTGGAAATATTTCTTGCAAGCAGTAACCTTGGGTGTTCCGACATCAGCCAGAGTAGCCACGGCAT